CTTTTCTTTTTTTTTTTTTTTTTTTTTGGTGGTACTAGAGATTAAACCCAGGGCTTTTGCAGTGGGTTTCATCCCCACTCGCTACCCCTTAAAAAAAAATTTTTTTTTGAGCCAAAATCTTGCTAAATTACCCAGGTTGGATTTGAATTTGTGATTCTTCTGCCTTAGCCTCCTGGAGTACTGGGATTATAGGCCTGTACTACTACACCCAGCTTTTTTTTTTTTTTTTTTAAAGTCTTCTCTAGTTCTTTCTTTCACTCTGAAGTGTTTTCGTACAACTTTTGCTTAAAAGTCTGCCATCTACCTCATTAAGAGCTGTGTCACAGTTACTGTTAAATATACATTATGGTTAGATGATAATAAGTGAAATAGTTTTCACTCATTCCAAAGAACTTAGTCATGGGAAGTAACGTATTTTAGATGTCATCTCTATTTATGTGGGGTTTTTGTGCAAATACCTTGTGATGTTGTTATCCGTATAATTTTGAATGTCCTGATGCATTGCCTAAAATATTTTTGCATTAAATAGGGGAATGATGGAAAAATGTACTTTTATGAATAATAAGATGCTGAGAAGCTAGGAACTTAGATGTTTTTTTCCCTGCTTTTATTCAAGGAGTCATTCCGCATATGAAAGGAATTGGTCATTCAAGAGAATGGAAGTTTCTAGACTTCTTATACTAGAAAAATTTGTATAGGAATTAACTTTCAGTAGTGAGGAGTTAATTCAAGCAAAATAACCAAAATACTTCAGATTTAATAACCACTAAGTGCATGATGTATTTTGTGGCACCAGTCAGCTCTTTTTGAAGGACTTGTGACTACCCTAGCAAAAAAACATTGTGAGGTTAATGAGGCCCAGGAGATGCCAGCAATTCCATGGATATATTGAGAACAGGAAGAAATATTAATTTTATGTCCTATGGTCATTAATGCACATTTAATGTGCAAAAGCTAATAGATTGGAAGTTCATCAGAGACTTAGTGTTGAGAGTGGTGATAGAGAGGAAATTCAGTCCAAAAATGAACTTGCTGGTCTTTCTCTGCAGAAAGCAGAAAATGGAGATTTAAATTGGATAATACCAGACCAATTTCTTGCCTTCTGTGGACCTCATTCAAGATCCAGACTTGAAAGTGGTATGTCAAACTGGACCAATAATAGTGTTTTTGTTGTTGTTGTTTGTATTTTTTTTTTTTTTGTGCGTACATAAATACAGATTTTTATTTTTTTAGTGTAAAAACTCAGAAGTCTGATTACTGGTCATTACTGGTATGTTTCACTTTACAAGAAACTGCCAAAGGTTTCCAGGGTGGTTGTACCACTCTATGTTTACATCAGCTCTATCTGGGAACCAGCTGCTGCGTACCCCTCTCAGCACTTCATATTTTTAGTATTTTTTTACTTTGATCATTCTAATAAATATGTAGACATGAGTATAGCTGGTTTTTAATCCCTTTATCAATAATCTTATCAACCTTTAAATTACATGTAAGTAATTTATTATTCTTTTGATTATTATTTTATCTTATTTTTTTTCAAAGTTTTATTGATAAACAGATAGCAATGAGACAGTTTCAAATCAAATCGGAAGTACAGTTTCAACAAATAATACACTGCATATAT